TACGTATTTTGGGATAAGTATTTCCCAATGTAAATTTCTGCCAACACTGATGCATAGAAGCTGCCAAAATTCGTGGGCTAGGCAACCAATTAAGTTCTATCAAATTGTTTGGCATGTGAAATGCATCCTGAATATGGATGGAAACTGCATGTTTCCACTTTCCACATGCCTATGAGAAGGATTTGCAGGTAGTGCTGTGTTTTTTCAAGAGCCTTGCCCCCAAAAAAAAACCAAAAAATTCATTCATTCGAATTTCGAGCAAATTACCTGTTAACCAGCCAGCACCCTATGCCATAAATGTGAATGTATTCGCAGTCGAGATTCCTGCCGAATGCCTACATCCTGTCGTTTCGTTGCTGTTGTATTTCCTGGTCCTGCGGGAATGATTCCGGGGGCCAGGAGGAGCATCCATCCAAGCATTTTAATGCTCAGCCAGAGCACTCCAGAGGGAAAAGGAATGTGCGGCAAGTTGTTGGTCTAGGGAATGCCTATTTAAACACTGAGAGAAACCCCAGGGAAGTTTGTTATGGTTTCGAAAGAGGTTCAAAAGAAACTTTGAAGACTAGAACATTTTTTAAAGATATATAAAACATTTTATAGTTTTTGATTGTTTTATTATCTCGAAAAGCAACGAGTTTCTTTGAAATCTTTTCTTTTAAACAATTCTCATTGTTAATTCCTAAAATATTGAGCTACTTGAGTACTAAAAAATGCGCTTTTTTCTTATATAAATACGTATTTTTATACTTTAGTTACAGTTGTTTTTTTCTTGGGATTTTTTGTTTTTGCTGGCCCAGAACTGAAGTTGTTCCTGCCACAAGCACTCCATGCTGCGTGTTCCACGGCCTCTGCATTTTGCTCTCAAATTCCTAAAATCTTTCGAATCTCCTGCAATTTTTAATGGCCTCCAAAGGGGAGGAGTAGGAGGAGGAGATGTAGGGGAATCTAGTTCCAAAGCAGAAGTCTCGAGTGTGTTGCTGGTGTGGAAAGGATTTGGTGGGCAGGTGTTTAACATTGGTTACTTCACAGTCCAGCCGTTTGGTCAGAAGAAAAAACCAGGGATATGGATACGGGAATTGGGTTTCAAGAAATAGTGCTGACCATAGTCGGATAAAATACGAACTTGAACTTATTAATAGAATATATCTTAAGGTTAAATTGGTATTGCTTTGTATTATCTTTTTTCAGGTCTAAGAATAAATCAAAATAAAAAGAAAATAGTGCCAGTACTGGACTGAAGTAGAAGCATCTTTATAAGATTAAATCGCAACAACCGGGTTTGATTTCGTTGTTCCGTTCGTTCGTGTGTTTGCTTTGCTTACCTTTGGCTTTGCCCAGGTGCACACCCAGGTACACACACACACACACACACAGATACACCTGCCTTTACTACTGCCCACCGCCAGCATCTGTTGTCTGTTGTCGCTGGCCTTTGACCCCGTCCCTAGTCTCTGCCCCAACTGCAGGTCCTGCCCCCTGCGCCTCTGTGTGTGCAGATTTTAAATTAGATTTCTGTGTGTGTGTGTGTGTGTGTGTGCACTACTCCTACTACTAACAGCTCCTGTTCCTGTGAACCGTAAAAGAGTCCCTTCCAGGACAGAGGACTATCGGTTTTGTGGGATCTTGGCCTTTGATGGAGTCGTTGAAAACGTCTGAATTGGCCTTGTTCTTTGGGGGACATTACTTGAAACGTAGCAACTGAGTTTAGTTAAATTAAGCTTAAAAGAGTTTAATAAATTGTACAAAGTACAGAATAGAATAGAATTAGAATATCCTTCGAAGGTAATTTTGTTGTTATATATAAAAGTTACCCTTTGTACTTATTGTCAACAAATTGATTTCCTTGATGCCTGTTCTTTTGTTATTTCTTAGCATTTTCCGTCCTGTCCGTCAACCTATTGTCCTGCCTGCCATTTATCCTCATCTCCCGCTAGTCATAGTTAGCTTCTTCCAGGTGCACATCCTTCTGCCATCCATCAATATATCCATTCATCCCTCCTGTTCCTGCTCCTGCTCCTACTCCTGCTTCTGCTCTGATCTTTGCTAGTTCAATGAACCTGAGCAGCTCCATCCTTCATGCTCCTGCCAGGGGCCAAAGGGTCCAAACCAGAGGGATTTCATTTATTATTTACTTACGGAGCGGTGCCAGAGTCTAGACCTAGGCGCACTAATTGAATCTCCATTTGCCAAGTGGTGACTGTGCCGGAAAATGCGGCAAGTGCAATTTAATTTAAATCATGCGTGGCCAAGGGCAAAGGCAGGGCAGGCTCTTTTAGCAAGGATATCGGTGTCAGGGGTCATGGGTGAGAGGTCGCATTTGAATAAGAGCGCACCAAGAGAGGGAGGAAGGGAAACCCCTGCACCGGAGGCCACTCGGGGCACTCATTTCATATCCTGTTGTTTATGGCCACACATATCCTTAAGGTCGCAAAAGGCAACGGGAGCTGCCAGGACCAGGACCTGGCTGATGGGCCACGTGGGAGTCAAAGGTCAGTGTGCAAAGTGCCTGCGAAATGGAGGCCGGCGAAGCGCCAGCGAATGTGCCAACGGATGCGGACACGGATATTGACAGCCGGGCAATAAAAACGACAAAGGTGACAGGACTCGGCAGCAGTCTGTGGAGAGGGAAAAGGGATGTGCAGGAGTTGGGCAACTGGAGAGAGAAGCGGGAAAGGCAACATCAACAGTCGACTCAAAGGATGCGTGAACATTTCTTATTTATACAACACCCGCACTGCCGTCATGCATATGAGCACGCCAAAGCCATGAAATATACAGTTACAGTTACACTTACAGCAACAGTTATAGCAACGGATGCAGATACAGATACAGATAGAGATACAGAAACAGACAGAGATACAGATACAGCTACAGAAAGAGAAGTAATAGTACGTATCCTTACACATGCTGTATTATATTGTAATATATAGTATTACTTGGTAGTTTTTATAATATATTAAATAATATATTAGAGAGTGTACATATCGTTTTCCAGGCTCTGTTACATTTTTTCAATAAATAAATAGAAAATTAATGAGAATATCCTTTATTTTGAGCCACATATACATAATTCTCTTTTAAACCGATACGAATCCACCCAAAAGAAGCACTTTTGGGATCGAAATCCCTTTGGCAGGATATGAACCTGTGACAAGTGACTGCTACTGATGAATGCAAATGAAATTTCCTTGGGAGTCTCTTCAAATTGTACAGAAAAGATATGGAATATCGAATAGGGAAAGAAATACCGAGATTAATTCTAGAGAAATTTGCAGATTTAAATTGAATATGTGACCAAAAGGAACTCTATGATCTACATTTCTTAGGTACTTGGATCCTGCCTAGGATTTATTGAGTCATATTTTCTTGCCATGTAATCCTTTTATGTTTCCTGAAGAGTTGTCAATCCTAAACCAAAGCAGAAGTCAGCTTCTGGTGCTCCAGTTTTGAGCTGATGTCAGCCGGAATTCCATTATGGAGACAGGCGGCTATCCATGGTCAGGATAATTCATCCCCCAATCAGGCTCCTGATTCCTTGCCAGAGAAACTTCATCCTTGACTTTTCCTATTTTTTTCGGGCTGAGTTTCAGGTAGAGGAATATACCCTTAAGGAAGCTCAGAAAGTCAAGACCTATTAAGTGCTCATAAAGTAACTATAACGATCAATCTCTTTTGATGTTCGTTTTCTGAACATAAAACTGTTTTGTTAAATCTTAAAATATTGGGGTAGAGTATTCCCACTTGCGTTGTTCTTACTAAATTTCTTATAATACCTTTTCTTGCACTTTTATTTTTGAAGAAGAAACTTGTGCTGGTCCGCACTTTTGTTACTTGTTACTTTTCCCTTGGCCAGTTTGCCTTTTGATCGGCAGCAAAGTTTGAACGCGGCCATTTAGCAGCAGGAAAAGGAGCAGCAGGAGCTTCAGCAGGGGCGTGGCATTTGGAGGCTGGCCACGTCAGATGGCTCAGCTCGGCACAGGACGTGCTTCACAGCTTAAACAGGCTGACACGCCCCCACCAGCACTTGCTCCTTTCTTTTTTTGCTTTGCAGGCAGTTTTGGGCGGCAGTGGGCGTGGCTAGGGGAGGGCATAATCATACGGCAATGCGATGGGAAAAGCGGCTTGGCTTCATTATCGACAGCAGCAGCTGCAGCGTCTAATTAGCGCGACCAACGCGTCGTATGTGCAATGAATAATTGTCGGTTACCTAAGCCGCAGCAGGCCTCGGGAAGAGAGAGCAGCTTTCCCCGAAAACAGACGTCCTGCGGTTGCAACTCGCTGTGGTTGACCATGTTGCAACTATGTCCAGCAGATGCAGATACAGCTACAGAGAAACCCAACCCAAACAGATACAGATACAATTGGGGATTTAAAGGGGAATGTAGGCACGTGCCTCGTGCAGGACTCACATGGCTCACAGGCGATCCCAACACTGGCCAATAGTCACGCGCCAAGGACCGACACTTATTACATAATATCCCGGAGCCAGCGACCAGCAAATTGGCCAGAGATCGAGATGAAAACGAAACCCGTTCGGGGTAAGAACTTGCAACTTGTTAACTTTAATTTAATTATATTTTTGGCTATTTAAGTGCTCTTGAATCGCATACCTGTTTCGAGATTATTCTGATAAAACTCTCGGTAAATTAACCACAAGACAATTTCCCTCCCCCAAATGCCACATACTAGCTTAAGAGGCTCCCTTTTCGGGGATTATTAATTAGCAATTAATTGCAAACCAAATCCTTGGCTCAGAGCCCACCTGGCGGCACTCTCCAGCATCCCAGCATCCCAGCATCCCATCCGATGTTGTTCTTGTTGCCATGGAGACCACTCAGGAACCGAGGCACTCAGCCCGCCCAATTCCCGGCATAAGCAGCACACAAGTGGCGCATAACAACAATTGAATTTTCAGTTAACATCACTAATCAGTCTCAAGGTGGTTATGGTTATACCAATATGTGTGGATTAGTACACTAAGCCAAATGTCTGGGGGTATATATACATAATTGCATTTGTATTTATTGTGATTTCGTTAAGTAAACATGATTTAAATGAGTGGGATGATCGAAGCAATTAAATGCATTTAATTCAATTAAATTCAGTAGTTTTCAAGTGTTTTAATGGAGCTTTGAGACAATATTCTAATAAAAAAAATAAAAAAAATAGCCAGAAAAGTATGATAAGAGATAATTAACATATAATTTGAATTATTTAAATTATTATACAGTTTTCCTAACCTTTTAATTAGCCCCAAGAATCAGTTGTTGCTTAACTATCAATTTTTCGTTACGTTAACATAAGAATTTGATTAAATTGATCTATTACCATACTTTTTTAAATGATTAAATTAAGAAAAGGTTTCGTTTTGTAGCGAAAAACATCACCTAATATTTTCAGTGTGCCGCAAGTGTCATAAGTTACATGGAACTGATAAACTATATCTTTTGGGCGGTTTTATGACCACTTAGTGACAGCGATAAGAACCCCAAGAGTTTCATGGCTCTAGAGCCGCAGCACGAAGGTCTGCACGCTCTCGTGCGGCGGAGGTGGAGTCACCACCTGCTGCCCACTGGCGTCCAGGTGATCCGCATAGCGCAGGGTGTGCACTAGCTCGTAGTTGAGGCGCTGCATCAGTCGTGCCGAGTAGACACTGGTGCAGTCCACGGATACGATGGGATGGCCCTGCTCCCGGGCCTCCTGGGCCACGGCCTCCATGAGCCGGGAGCCAAGTGCCTTTCCGCGCAGCTCCCTGTTCACGCCCAAGGCATGGACATGAAGGCTACTGGGGACATTGAAGCGTCGACAGACATCGCTGCCCGTCTCCACGGCGGAGAGTACGTCCAGGATGCGACCCCACTTGCTGCCAGCATGCAGAGCCGCCTCCCGGCGCATCAGTTCCGGGCCGCCGGCATCCTTGGGACCCGCCACCACGGCTCCCACTATCCGGCTGCCGTTCCCCTGATCCTCCTCGGCCAGGAAGCAGGTTCCATATGGAATATTGCTGAGCAGGAACTCCTTATCGTCGGCTGTGGGCTCCGGCGGGGAAGTGCCTGCGGTGAGCGGCTCTTCCCGGTAATAGTGCTCCAGCAGGAAGGTCATGAGCCGATCCGCTTCAGGTTCGGTCACCTGGCGAACCCTGATGTCACCCGTTGCAGGCATTTCCTTTACTATTTATCAGATTCTATATATTTAATTGATATTATATTTCCCCGTTTTCTTTGTGTACGAACACGTGGAGACTCGGCAACAACTGATCGTCAGCTGGTGTAGAGATATGGGAGCGAAGCTAGAACTATCTCTCATGGAGAACTAATTAAGGTGGTAATTTTCGGAAGAGAACGACTCTCTTTTATTTGAACATGAATTACCTTAGCAATATATATGTGGAATATATCTATATTCGATTAGATATATCGTATTGTGTCATGATCTTAGTAAAAACCATCATTAGAACTACAAAGAGGTCAATCTTGTTTTTAATATAAATTATATAACATGTTTTCAATAATATCAAATATATTGAAATTTTAAATTTAGTTCCACATTATTTTTTAGAAATTCCCACAAATTTTGTCTATATAATTTCAAGCATTATATTTTATATGAATATATAGAAGAATTTCTTGTAAGATGTGTATGTTCCTACCTTATTTAGTTGCACCATGAGTAAGCTGTGGAAGATAACTGTGGAAGGTGGACGCCAAGCTCATGCTAGGGGAACTTGCCTTCCACATTAGATTTCGATGTTGGCCTAGGTCAGCGATCAGTGGATCCCATGTGGAATAGATCTGAAAATGATTAAAATGTTTGTTTTCAATAGGTTTTTCGCTTTCTTAAGAAGAAATATGTATATACAAAGGGATTTTCTCTCTCTGTTGCATAAAGAATTAGCTGCATATTTACGCTCCAACATATAATAATAATAATAATAGCATGAAATCGTAAGTACTTGGCCGCATTGTGTAATGCTCGACATGTTTTTCCCAATGACGATGATGATGATGTCCGGTCCCCTGTCCTGGCATTGATTAACCAATCAACCCGTAGAACAAGCCATGCCCTAATCCCGGCGAGGAGCTGCTCGCATTTCCATTCGGACTACGTGTGGCATTAAGTGGCGGCAGTGGCGCTAATGGAGGGCATCGGAACCATTAGGAAAGGTATTAGGGCGGCTTAAGAACCTGGACAACGCAACACAACAGCACAACACAAGGCAGGACAACAGCAGGACAAGGACACTCCTAGCTGAGCAAATAAATATCTATTTTCCTGCTTACTACAAAACACACAGCAAAAAATTTATAGAGAGTGATCTTGGATCAGAGGGAATTGCAGGAAGGATAATCAAGCTTGAAATCATCACTTTGGGCACCGCTGATATCCTGTTTAAGTCGACACAGTTAAAAGACCATTGATCAATATTAAATATTGTAACAAAAAGAAAAACATGAAAAATGTTAGGAAGAATAATGAACTCTGTGTCCAGATTGCATTTTATTATTAATATTTATGATAGGGATCAAGGTAAATATATTTTTATTTTATAAACATTTCCCCAAGTTATTATCCCTTTTTTGCAGTGCCGGAATCTATGTAGAAAAAGTCCTTTGCGCGATTTGCATGGGTATCAATGGGGGAGGAAGGAAATGGATCGGGAATGGGGGCTTCGATTGCTATATATGCGATCCCAGGGACTGGTTTAGTCCTGGCGGAAGGGTGGCCGGACAAGTGTAATCCGCAAACTAAGGAACAACACGAACGACATCGACAGGACATCACATGAATGGAAAAGCAAGGGGAAGTTCTGCCAGGAGCAGGAGCAGGAGCAGGAGCGGAAATGGGCTTGGCCAGGGATTATGCCACTGAAACTTATGGAAGTGAAATCGAGCGCGTGAAGTTCAAGTGGCAGCCATTGTCCACCTCGGAAAACACACACAATTCTAATTGGAGTGCCTCCTAGTTGGGGTTGGAATAGGGGTTGGGGTTAGGGTTGGATGCCTGGGGTGGCAAGGTCAGACACAGACGCAGGCAAAACAGACACAGAGACCAGGGAGGAGAGGGGACAAAACTAACCGAAAATGTCCAAACAAATCAACTAAAAATAAAGAAATGCTGCACAATGAAAGCATTAAGCTGGAGAGTCCTTGTCCCTCCCCCCCGTCCGCCAGCCACTGCTGGTTTTGGCGACAAGGACATTGGGGAGGCAGGCACTGAAGAAAATGTTTCGAAATGACATCCCTAAGAAAATTAAAAAAATATAATAACAAACATAATACAAATTTAAATGAAGAAAATAATTTAACTAAAACGCAGTTATAAGAAAGAAATGCAATAAGTAAATGAACTAAATGCACCGGAAATCCAAGTAATTGGATATGGATATAACTTAATATATAAATATATATATAATATACATAATTCACTGTTGATACCCTTTTTTTTTCTTAAAGTGCAAAAGCTGATTTTGTGTTTTTTTCTTGTTGTTTTTGGGTCTGGGTGCGAGTTTCGGGCAAGTGTCCTTGAGTATTTTGTGCCAAATGCACGGGGTGGCCGGCAGGGAGGGCGAGTGGGGCGGGTGGAAAGCGGGCAGGACGAAAGGAAAGCACTGGGAGCAAAGCTTAGCACACACTTCATGCTCGGAGCGAGCCACAGTCACGTACATTTTATAAACTTCATTCGCCATCGCCATCGCCATCGCCATTGCCATTGCCTTTGCCTTCGCTTTCGCCTTTGCATTTGCCTCGGCTGGCAGGACGAATTCGCCGTTTGGCTTCGTCCCGAATTCGCCGCATTACAGGACATTGAAAAGCGGCTGCTTTGCCGTCGAGGCGCCAGAACAATTCGTGCCGCGCGCGCGTTCGGTTCGTTTTTTTCCCAGCTTCCGTTGTCTCTCTCTCTCTCTCAATCTATCTCTCTCTTTGTCACTTTGTCAGCCATCTCTCTCTCTCTCTCGCTCTGGTCCTAGCTGTGTGTGTGTGTGCGACTGTGTGTGTGTGTGTGCGAGTGTGTTTGTGTGTGAGAGTCCTTGTGGTAGTGAAAGTAAACAAGTCGCCGCGGCGCCGGCAAAATGTTTTATGCCTTGTTATTGTTGCTTGGACCCCGTAAAAATACAGGAAATACTATATATATATATTTATGTGTATAAATATAAAAAATAAATAAAATCCATGGAGCAAAATGAGAGTGAGAGAGAGAGGGAGAGGAAGTGAAAGGGGGAGGAAGCGCCAGGACCTCCTTCGCGAGATCCGTGACGATGCGTTAATGAACAAACCCAACGCCATGTTATTGTTATTATTTATTTTTTTATAGTGTGCGACAAAAAAAAGGGAAAGAAATATTCGAAAAAAAAACAGCCAAAGAACACAGAAAGCGAAGCGTAAAAAACATACACAAAACAAAATATCCTTTAGGTGAATTCGAGAGGCAGATCGAAAAAATGCTGCATCCCCGTTGCCTGCTCTCGTTCCTGGGACTCTGCCTGGTGATCAGTCTGGCCTTGAACTGCGATGCTAGAGCGGTGAGTATATATATCCATGGATTATCCTTTTAAATTTCCCTTATATGTATAATTAACACCATTATTTAGGAGTTCATTAAATACATACAAGACTGGCTTTAACACACCTTGCCTTGCTTATTATAATACAATTTAATGAATATATATTAAAGTTTCCTGTTCCCCTTTTATGATTTCTCAGACCTACAGAATTCATAGAATTGTCCAAAAATAATTAAATAAATTCACTATTATAGCTAACGAATTACGACCTAACAGCATTAGTATTTATTAAACTTTTATCAATTCCTAAAAGCCCTTAAAGTGGTTTCGTTAAAAAGAGTTCTTAAATTAGTAACAAAAAAAATAGTAATAACATTTATATAATTTCCAAAGACTCTCACAAATTAAAAAAACTTATAATCTGTTTATAATACATCGACATGGCTTTTAAAAAATATTTTTACTATATTTACCCTACATTTACTCATCGGAATGCGAGGCTCGAGGCTGGGGAACTCCTGTCTAAAGTTACTTTGCAGTTCGAAAACAATTATTTTGCACACACACAAGAGTCCCCCCCTTAGCCATGCCCATGGCCATACTTGATTTGTATTAAATTATTCGCTAAAGTGATACCTTTCCCCGGAATGAGATGGAATAAATTCATAAAATAAATTGCAGAATAATTATGTGAAATCGATGGCTACTTTTAATGTCCCCCGTTTGAGGCATAGATCTACCGAAAACTGCCGAAATTCATGGGGCGAAACCTTCGCCATTTACCACTCCAATTGAGGTCAGATCAGACATTTGCAGACTAAATTGCGGTTTGTTGGAAATCGAAAATCATTCAACAAGACGGACTCTCTGGCAATCGGAAGCGGGGATTCCCCTTCTCCTAAGGGGCGAGTGTATTTTCCCAAGGATAGGAGGAGACGCAGGCGGGGGAGGCGGAGGAGGATGTGGCTTGGCTCAAATTTATATGCGCAAAAGTTGCGACTCGTTTCTGCTCTGAGAGTAAATCAAAAATGTGAAACTCTTTGGTTGGCCAACAAAAACTTTCCTTTTATTTCTCTGTCGCCGCCGTCGCTTTAGCTTCACTTTTTGTTGGTTTTGGCAACGTTTCTTGTTTTGGTCTTGTGCTCCGTTTATCCTTTCGACCCCATCACAGTCCTCTCAGTTCATTTTCATTTTTCTCGCTTTTCCCCCTCCCCAATTCCACTTGGAGAATAATGTTTCCATTGGAATTGGAATTGGAAATTTATTTATAAATTATGGTAATAAAGAAATAAGTTGTTGTTATTTAAAATAATTTGTGTGGCTTCATTAAATAAATACAAAATCGAAAGGGGGAAATGGCCAATCCCTCAACGAGGAAGCTTATTAAGGATATTCGATTATAAGTAAAGTTTCCATTGTCTAATTGTCTAGGAACAACACCTTAGCTTAGCAAACAAATAGAAAATTTATAAGAGTTCAAAAACGAATATAGTTTACTTTAGAAGACAATCAAATAATTAAAGATTCCCCACAGAGCCTCAACTATTTTCTTGAGTGCAGCTTCCTGGCTCTTTATTATTTTGTTTGTATTATTTTTTTCTTGTTTGGCGGATGGGTCTTTATGGCCCTGTCCTGTTTGGACTGTTTCGGCAATGTCCACCCGCCCGTAAGCGCTGCGAAATGAATAATTTCAGGGAATTTACTACACAATTTTATTCATATAAATCACAAATTAAATAAGTTTTTACGAGCTTGTTCAGCGGTTGCAGCCCACTACAGAACTTGTTTGTGTTCCCGTTCTCGACGTTTGTTTGTTTGTTTGTTTGTTCGGTTGTTTGTTGTCCGGATAGGAGTCCTGGTTTGGGTCCTGGGTCCTGGTCCTGGTCCTGGTCTGGGTCTGAGTCCAAGTCCGGGCTGCCAGCAAAGACGAATGAATGAATGGACGGCGCTCTAGGTTCGCGGTACCCGTGGTATGTATCAGCCCCTCCCTGGTAAGCCCTTTTTTATGGCTCTGTAATTTTTTGTTGGCCCTTTTTATTTATGCTTATTATCGTGATTGCTATGGCCCCGTGGTAGGGAAAAACACAGCAGTGGCAGTGGCTCTATATGTACCTACAAACAACGCCTTTGCTACTCTCTTTCTCCGGAGAAAGGAAAGTTACACCGGTTTCAGCAGCATGAAGTAGTGATCCGATTGGGCTTTGAGTTAGTGGCCTAAGGCTAAGCCTACTTTAGCAACGGATTTATATAGAAAGACGTTCCGTTTAGTCTTTGGGCTTAGCAACAAGTTGTATTTGTGTTGCTTTATTCAAGGGAAAAGCTACCAAAGAGGTGTCCGAATTATGACTGCTTAGTTTCAGCTTAGGAAATCTCCAGAAAATAAGCTCTAAATTGGGTTTCCATTTCATTTGGCTTTCCTTCAGCAGTATTATAATATTTATTCCTACAATATCAGCTGAAAACTATGCAATAATTTTAATGCCTTCTGAAATCCTTGGACAGTCGGTGCTAGGCAACACCAACTGAAAAAGGGTATTTATGGCAGCTTTTTGCAGGTAAAAGAAAAATACAAAAAGAGTGAACGTAAAACAGGTGGAAAGTGCGAGAGAGGCAGTGAAAGGACGACTATGGATTCATTACAGCCAAAGGACTAATGACGCCGGCAGCGGCGGCGGAACACGATCTGGGATTATCCTTGCTCGTTCAAAGCAGCATTTTAAATGAGAAGTCCGCCGCCGCCGCCATCAGATTAATCCCTTCTTTATTTGCTCTCCCCGGGATCGGGGATGAAATAGTAATTACTGCAAAACGGGGTCACCGCAGGAAGCCAGGTGATATGACCGGCGAAACAGCCAATTTGTTTTGAGCATATTAAATGCAGCGAGACTATTTGCAATCGTGAAAGCATTTAAATGAATATTACTTTTGTTTGCCTTTAAGAAGGTCTTTACCATTTTCCTTAAATTCCCATCTTTTAAGGTAAAAATATTAAAATTGGCATGGGCATTGGGCATTTTTCAATTAAATTTGTTTTAGTTTAAATACATTTACAGGGTAATATATTGTATTTATATATTTTAGATTTTTCAGTTTTGTATACTGGGAAACTAGATTATTTTTTAATGATTCAATTGCTTGTACAAGCTTGAACTTGCTAGAAGTTATATTTCTATCTAAATTAAAAAATATTACGCATACGCACAGGTGTAACCCTTTTCAGGGAATTATAATTCTGGTCAGAAGCTTAAAATGCAGTAAAGGAGTCATTTCCGACCCTATATTCCATATATATTCTTGATCAGCATAAACAGGCGAATCTTTCTAGACAAAAAGGAAAGAACAAAATTTTTGAAAATTATTTTCCACAATTTTGTAGACGTTTTTTTCATTGTCAACATATTGAAAAATCGACAAAATTTGAAATAGTTTAAAAGTGTAATTTGCGTACGCAGATTTATTAACCTATTAAAAACTAGAACAGAACAGTTTTCCGAATTGAAATTAATGAATTTTTGGCATAGTTATGATATTTGAAAACTTTGATATTCCCCAAAAACTATCATATTCAGATATCGATTAAATATATCAAAAATACACATAGTTTAGGCTTTCTTGGGGGCCAAAAAGGAAATGACCGCCAAAAGTTCTATATATTTAGATTCTCCAAATAAAATGTACATGAATTAAGAATAAAATTTGGGAAAATAAATTCAACAAAACATAATTATGTAATTATTGATTATATTCTAAAATGTATTTGTTACGTGTTTAAAATCAGTTAAATCTGTAGTCGCAAATCTATATATCAATATAATTGTTTTATACTCCCTTTCTAGAGTAAACATTAAATAGTCGTAAAACTATTTGCAATCTGAAAGCAATATCCATTTCGGCAGCTCACTTACATAGGCCTGCCTGGCTTTGCGATATATCCGGCAGATTCTCTCAATCATTTATCACTTCTTCACGAGTAACAGGCACGAATTGCTCCAGCTTTGCTTTTCTCTTGCTTTTTTCCCCCGGATTTCGGGACCGCAGCAGCAAGCACGTTTTTCCGGGCGGAAGGAAAAGCCGTGAGCAGGGAGCAGGGAGCATCCTTAATTTACATACGAAGGCTTGAGGAAAAGGCTCCATGCAGATGCATTAATAATGTAACATTAGCCAGGACGATGGCAAGCGGAAGATAAACAATGCGGAACGCCTTAAACGTTAGCCGGGGATGACAAGAGATGAGCCCAGGCGATGAATGAATTGAGTCCTTTGAACACTGGGAAAAATCCCCATCAAGCATAGGCTAAGCAATGAGTAAATTGAAATAAGAACTCATTCTCCCTTGGCAAACATAATTGTATAGATTACTTGTGGATATGTTTTTGCAGTCCAATATTTCTCTCAGTGCCGTCTTAGCCATTTGACAATATTCTAGGCCTTAGCCAAGGCCAATTCCCTGCCTTTTCTCCTCTTATTCATGGCATTCACGTGCGACTGACACGAGATTCACGAGACGTGAAAGCAATTTACGATGTGGCCGCCGCAACAATGAGCAATTAATCATGCCACGGCCACAGTCGCAGTCGCAGTCGCAGTCGCATTCGGAGACGGAGACGGAGACGGAGTTTCCCGGAGCGGACTTTGCTCCAGTTTCACTTTCACCCCGCTGGCCCAGGGCAGGGCCACCCACTCAAGGACGCGAGAGGCAACTGGCGAAGGCCGCCAGCAGACACAGCAGAGAGCAAGGAGAAAGAGTACAGAAAAAAGGCAATGGGAAGGAGAAAGGGAAAGGCATGGGAGAAATAAAAAGCCACGACCTTGAGCTGCACTTACCCGGCACTCATCACTCTCCCCACCCACTGGGCCATGCTTTTCCCCATTTCCATATCCATTTCCCCAACTATTTGGCACATCAAATCATAATTTATGGACGGCAATCAAAATGAGCCTGCTCCTTTTTCCACTCCCTCCCCTGTTTCCCTTCCAGCTTTTCCTCCCTTGTTTTTTTTTTTTTTTCATTTTCCCTT